AATCATCTGTATCAAACCTTATTACAGGTAAAACCAGTAGGCAGTCTACTGTATTTTATCAAACTCTTATTAGAATAATAGATCTCGTAATAATTTTGCAAAAATAGTGGCATTTACTATTTTTAAAAGATTATTAGAAAAATTACAGATATGGTGCATTCGGAAGACAAAACCAATTTTTCACTTTTGACAATTGAGCACCTGCTACATCCAGATTCTAGGGAGGAAAGGAAGGACGATCTTACTGGATCCCATAGCCTCTCCGAGGCACAAACCAGGCTTTTACACAACCCCCCCCCCCCCTGCACCCGAGCTTTTTAAAATAGTAAATGCCACTATTTTTGCAAAATTATTACGAGATCTATTATTCTATAGAATAATGCATATAAATGCATATATGCATATAAATACAAAAGTAAATGTAAATAATTTTACCTTGCACCTAGATCCACCAAGCCTGTATGGCGCGCGTTTCAGTACTTCGGAAATCTAGAACTATCTTGAATCTCTAATCTGCAATGAAACAATACATATTATTGCACTTACCAAAACATGGATGAATGTAGAAAATACAGAACTATTAGCTGAATATCAAATAAATGGATTTAATCTATTTCACACAGATAGATATATTAGATATTATATTATATTCCTTTCCTCCCTAGAATCTGGATGTAGCAGGTGCTCAATTGTCAAAAGTGAAAAATTTGGTTTATTTAACATACACGCCATAGACCGGCTTGGGAAAAAAAGTTCGTAAAACCCAGGGGCCATAGACCGGCTATGAAAGAAAATTTGAGAAAACCCTGGGGCCATAGAACGGCTATTTAATCCCCTGGAACGGATAATCATCTGTATCAAACCTTATTACAGGTAAAACCAGTAGGCAGTCTACTGTATTTTATCAAACTCTTATTAGAATAATAGATCTCGTAATAATTTTGCAAAAATAGTGGCATTTACTATTTTTAAAAGATTATTAGAAAAATTACAGATATGGTGCATTCGGAAGACAAAACCAATTTTTCACTTTTGACAATTGAGCACCTGCTACATCCAGATTCTAGGGAGGAAAGGAAGGACGATCTTACTGGATCCCATAGCCTCTATGAGGCACAAACCAGGCTTTTACACAACCCCCCCCCCCCCCTGCACCCGAGCTTTTTAAAATAGTAAATGCCACTATTTTTGCAAAATTATTACGAGATCTATTATTCTATAGAATAATGCATATAAATGCATATATGCATATAAATACAAAAGTAAATGTAAATAATTTTACCTTGCACCTAGATCCACCAAGCCTGTATGGCGCGCGTTTCAGTACTTCGGAAATCTAGAACTATCTTGAATCTCTAATCTGCAATGAAACAATACATATTATTGCACTTACCAAAACATGGATGAATGTAGAAAATACAGAACTATTAGCTGAATATCAAATAAATGGATTTAATCTATTTCACACAGATAGATATATTAGATATTATATTATATTCCTTTCCTCCCTAGAATCTGGATGTAGCAGGTGCTCAATTGTCAAAAGTGAAAAATTTGGTTTATTTAACATACACGCCATAGACCGGCTTGGGAAAAAAAGTTCGTAAAACCCAGGGGCCATAGACCGGCTTGGGAAAAAAAGTTCGTAAAACCCAGGGGCCATAGACCGGCTATGAAAGAAAATTTGAGAAAACCCTGGGGCCATAGAACGGCTATTTAATCCCCTGGAACGGATAATCATCTGTATCAAACCTTATTACAGGTAAAACCAGTAGGCAGTCTACTGTATTTTATCAAACTCTTATTAGAATAATAGATCTCGTAATAATTTTGCAAAAATAGTGGCATTTACTATTTTTAAAAGATTATTAGAAAAATTACAGATATGGTGCATTCGGAAGACAAAACCAATTTTTCACTTTTGACAATTGAGCACCTGCTACATCCAAATTCTAGGGAGGAAAGGAAGGACGATCTTACTGGATCCCATAGCCTCTCCGAGGCACAAACCAGGCTTTTACACAACCCCCCCCCCCCTGCACCCGAGCTTTTTAAAATAGTAAATGCCACTATTTTTGCAAAATTATTACGAGATCTATTATTCTATAGAATAATGCATATAAATGCATATATGCATATAAATACAAAAGTAAATGTAAATAATTTTACCTTGCACCTAGATCCACCAAGCCTGTATGGCTAGATATATTAGATATTATATTATATTCCTTTCCTCCCTAGAATCTGGATGTAGCAGGTGCTCAATTGTCAAAAGTGAAAAATTTGGTTTATTTAACATACACGCCATAGACCGGCTTGGGAAAAAAAGTTCGTAAAACCCAGGGGCCATAGACCGGCTTGGGAAAAAAAGTTCGTAAAGGGGCCATAGACCGGCTATGAAAGAAAATTTGAGAAAACCCTGGGGCCATAGAACGGCTATTTAATCCCCTGGAACGGATAATCATCTGTATCAAACCTTATTACAGGTAAAACCAGTAGGCAGTCTACTGTATTTTATCAAACTCTTATTAGAATAATAGATCTCGTAATAATTTTGCAAAAATAGTGGCATTTACTATTTTTAAAAGATTATTAGAAAAATTACAGATATGGTGCATTCGGAAGACAAAACCAATTTTTCACTTTTGACAATTGAGCACCTGCTACATCCAAATTCTAGGGAGGAAAGGAAGGACGATCTTACTGGATCCCATAGCCTCTCCGAGGCACAAACCAGGCTTTTACACAACCCCCCCCCCCCCCCCTGCACCCGAGCTTTTTAAAATAGTAAATGCCACTATTTTTGCAAAATTATTACGAGATCTATTATTCTATAGAATAATGCATATAAATGCATATATGCATATAAATACAAAAGTAAATGTAAATAATTTTACCTTGCACCTAGATCCACCAAGCCTGTATGGCCTCCCTCCTAACCCCATACCTTCCCAGTTACCCCTTCCCTTCTCACCCCATTCCTTCCCTTCTACCCCCTTCTCCACTTCCACCATATCCACCTTCCCCCCTTTCCCTCCCTGTCCCTTGTCCCCCTTCATCCCATTCCCTCCCAGTCTCCCTTTCACTTGACCCCCCCACCCCTCACCCCAGTATCCTCTGAGACTCTTATCCACCTCACAAATCCTCTCACTTATGAAACAGCTTCCCCCATCAGCAGAACACTCACAAAGAAGGGGACATGAGAATAAACAGAAGAAAGTGAGTCTCAAGACAATGTACACTAACATAGATGGAATTACAAATAAATCATATGAACTTAGAGAATAGGAACAAGAAGAAAACTCAGGCATAATAGCACTCACAGAAACAAAGTTAACGAAAACCATAACAAATGCAGTGTTTCCACAGGAGAACTATGTAGTGAGGAAAGAGAGAAGGAAGGGGAGGTGGTGGTGTAGCTCTGCTGGTAAGAAAAGGCCGGAGTTTTGAGGAGATGGTTATTTAAGGCTGTGAAGATTTCTGTGACTACATAACAGGTACCATAACAATTGGAGGACAAAAAATTATAGTCATAGTCATATATAACCCACCACTAAATGACAGAAAACCCAGAATGGACTATGATAGAAACAACATGACCACCATAAACATAATAGAGAGAGAGAGAGCAGCTTCTGTCGCTAGAAGGAATGGATCTGGACTACTAATCATGCGAGACATCAACCACGGGAAGATAGACTTGGAGAGCAAAGTCCCACATGGGGAGCTAAGCTGCTGGATGTGGCAACAAGTAACTTTCGAAGCCAACACATCAAGGGACCGACACGAATGAGAGGGAAAGATGAACCAGCCATGCTTGATTTGATATTTACACTAAATGAGTGGGATATAAGGGAAGTTACGTTGGAACCACCCTTGGGAATGAGTGATCACAGTGTATTGATATTTGAGTATTTGGTAGAGCTAGGCCTCTCTCACTCAGTACTTTGTCCAACCGTACTGGAAAACACTGGCGAGGTTCATCTTGTACGTGGGCCAGCCCACTGACAGTCTCACGAGGTGTCTATACCCCACGACCACTCTCCGGCCACTTGCTGGCAGAGAACCTCAGCCCACACGCTGATCGGGGCCACTTAAACAGTCGATACAGGGGTAGTGAACCTCTGGCAAAAGCCTCTAGCGTCTGGCTAGCAGCGCTTCCCAACAGGCACCCTTACTGTCGTCCGTTTCTTCCCTAAGCCGGTCTCGGGGTATGCCAATCTCTTCCAGTTCTACTTAAACACCAGTCGACACACACTGCTTTATATCGGCGGCGGTTTACTTAGTCGTCTTGCAGGACTAAGTCGAGAGAACGTTGGCTGCAGTGGAGAGTTATACATGAAGGAGTGGAGAGTTATGCATTAAGGTGTGGTGAGTTATGCATGAAGGTGTGGAGAGTTATACGTGAAGGTGTGGAGAGTTATACATGAAGGTGTGGAGAGTTATACATGAAGGTGTGTAGAGTTATACATGAAGGTGTGTAGAGTTATACATGATTAACGTTGATCCGTTATCTGCATTTTTTGGCAAATAAATCTTCCTAACTTTTGCTCACGTTAAAGCTGTTAAATAATTTGTTCCAAATATATTATAAGGTGCAGTCCTATACATAATTGTTGACTCACTAGATGCTGGGTGGAGTTAGTTATCATGGACTAGAGCTCTCAGTTGACTCACTAGGTGCTGGGTGGAGTTAGTTATCATGGACCAGAGCTCTCAGTTGACTCACTAGGTGCTGGGTGGAGTTAGTTATCATGGACCAGAGCTCTCAGTTGACTCACTAGGTGCTGGGTGGAGTTAGTTATCATGGACCAGAGCTCTCAGTTGACTCACTAAGTGCTGGGTGGAGTTAGTTATCATGGACCAGAGCTCTCATTTGCTTATATGATGTACAATATTTTTAATATATTGTACATCATATGATGCTCATATGATGTACAATAAAATTTATATATTTTATAAATTTCACTATCAATTCATGAAATTTTTTAACTCTACAGAATTTGCAACAATAGACCCAGAAAGATATCACTACTATAGTGAATACGTCGACGCTCTCCACATGTTTGACGTGAGTTATTATTGTCATTTATTGTGAGTTACCACACTATCAGTGTGTGTCTCACTATCAGTGTGTGTCTCACACTATCAGTGTGTGTCTCACACTATCAGTGTGTGTCTCACACTATCAGTGTGTGTCTCACACTATCAGTGTGTGTCTCACACTATCAGTGTGTGTCTCACACTATCAGTGTGTGTCTCACACTATCAGTGTGTGTCTCACACTATCAGTGTGTGTCACACTATCAGTGTGTGTCACACTATCAGTGTGCCTCACACTATCAGTGTGTCTCACACTATCAGTGAGTCTCACACTATCAGTGTGTCTCACACTATCAGTGACACACTATCAGTGTGTCTTACACTATCAGTGTGTCTCACACTATCAGTGAGTCTCACACTAGCAGTGTGTCTCACACTATCAGTGTGAGTCTCACACTATCAGTGTGAGTCTCACTCTATCAGTGTGTCTCACACTATCAGTGTGTCTCATACTATCAGTGAGTCTCACACTATCAGTGTGTGTCACACTATCAGTGTGTGTCACACTATCAGTGTGTCTCACACTATCAGTGAGTCTCACACTGTCACTGTGTCTCACACTATTAGTAAGTCTCACACTATCAGTGAGTCTCACACTATAAGTGTGTCTCACACTATCAGTGAGTCTCACACTATAAGTGTGTCTCACACTATAAGTGTGTCTCACACTATCAGTGACACACTGTCAGTGTGAGTCTCACACTATCAGTGTGTCCAACACTATAAGTGTGTTTCACACTATCAGTGTGAGTCTCACACTGTCAGTGTGAGTCTCACACTATCAGTGTGTCCAACACTATAAGTGTGTTTCACACTATCAGTGTGTTTAACACTATAAGTGTGTTTCACACTATCAGTGTGAGTCTCCCACTGTCAGTGTGTCTCACACTGCTCTCATCCCCCTAGCAACACGCCTTAGAGGTTGCTAGGGCTAGGTAACCCATCCTCTTGTTCAGATAGCACCTTTTGTAACCATGAGCACAATAGAATAAAACTTGACATACTAGGCAATTAGCGAGTAGAATATGGTACTATTCATTACACTTTATAATAGCGAAGTAAATAGTAAACAATAATACCATTCGCATTATAGTTCGAAAAATGAAGGTAAAAAACAAACTATATATTGCTAGTAAAGATCCCTTATGCACTATATTTTGACCTCATATAACGTGTGTTAGGCCTAGGGAGGTTAGGTTACGTGAGTGTCTTCACAACAAAAATCGGAAATTTTTTCCGGTTTTTCTAATTCAAAAGTACCGATTTCTACTTCCTAACTGCGGTGTACGTCGGTATATGTACTATGGTCGCTATCGTTACTATACAACGGAAACAGGAGGATTGACAGGGATAGGTCGTATAGTGGTAGTTCATTCTCTACCTCCCTCAGGTACCTCATTAAATCCCGTTTAATGACAATATGTTTGCCAGCTCCTGGACCCATGATGTACATACCTACCAAGTTGTCTGCCGGCGGCCTGGCGGAATGTGGTCAACTTTAATTAACCTTTTCGCATTTCAGAAGTTTTAGGTCAGGAGTTTTAGGTTAGGTGTTACCTGCCGTCCTGTTCTGTAATGGCGACTTGGTTGGTCTCTGTCGTGGTCGAGTTGACGAGTTTTCTCTGGTGGGTCTCTGGTATGGTCGAGTTGACCAGTTTTCTCTGGTGGACGTCTCTGGTGTGGTTGAGTGGACCAGTTTTCTCGGTGTGGTCGAGTTGACCAGTTCTCTCTGGTGGGTCTCTGGTGTGGTCGAGTTGACCAGTTCTCTCTGGTGGGTCTCTAGTGTGGTCGAGTTGACCAGTTCTCTCTGGTGGGTCTCGGGTGTGGTCGAGTTGACCAATTCTCTCTAGCGGGTCTCTGGTGTATCCGACGGCCTTGACGTATGGGTGTTTGTATTAATGATATGACATTTGTGATCAGATGGATGTTGTCATGTATGTGTTCTTGTTGCAAGATTTCAGTGACAGTTCTCGAATCTGTGTGTATGATAACATGTTGTTGGTGCTCAGCAAGATCATGTTCCAAAGCCTTTTGAATGGCTAGCATCTCTGTTTGAGAAGTTGAACACCCGTTTGAGAGTTTCCATCTAACTACAAACTTTCCTGCCTTAACTGCAGCTCCGGTTTCTTGTCCCTGCTGGTCTACTGATCCATCTGTGAAGTAAATGATGCTTTCAGATGCCAAGTCTATATTCATCTGTGCAATGATGCATAGACGATGAGGATTAATCTAGTTCTTTATTTACTTGAAGTCATAATCTTTGTCTGGTGCCAGGGATTCCCGTGGGGCTGCAAGACGAGGTCTGCGTGTATTTCGTGCTATCCCTTTGTAATTCTATTTATAATTTTGAATGTATTGCATAGAGAGTCCACCTGGTTTTTTTAAAGCTCTTCTATCCCAAGTAACTTCTCTAGTGATTATATATTTGAGTGAACTGATTATTAGTCTAGTCAATATCTAGGTCAGCATGCAGGCAGCAGGCCCTTTTACCATTATTTCAACCCATGTTAGTTTAGTTTCTAGTCTTAGGTTCTGTATTTTAGTCCATCTGGGAGTCCCTGTTATGACTCGCATTGCATCATTTTGAATACCCTTAACCATTGCCCACTGACCAGGAGAAAGAGTGAGTAAGGCAAGCGCTGCATAATCAACTATGGACTGAACGGTGTGTATGTTAAACATTATTAACACTCTGTGTCTCGCTCCTGGATGGGGCCCTGTGATTATTTTCATTATATTCAGTCTTGATTTTGGTTTCTCCTTCAGACATTAAATTTGCTTGTTGAATGGTTTTTAGAACCAATTTATTCTGCGAGATATTGATATTGTATAACCCCTTAAGATTAATGTCTTGAATGCGTAGGTAACTCTTGATTATTGCCACCCAGTCTCATTGCTTTAGATTTATGTGCCGATATTTTTTGCCCAAAAATGCAGCATTCAAATGGTACTTTATCTAGCGTCATTTGGACTTTATTCAAAAGAGAAGGACCTGTGACGACTGATGATACATCAGCATAGCTTAGGAATTTAACCCTTTCTGGAAATGTCATGGAAGCGAGGTTTTTCATAAGGATGTTAATGACTAGCACTGAGTCTGTAACTCCTCCTTGTGGAGTCCCATTCTCATGCAACTGGTAATCTGACACTTGGACTTGCAGGTTTACTCTGGCATACCTTTCAGGAAATTATGAATCAAGGCAGTTTTCCTCCGACACTTTTTTTTTAACATCTATAAAATTGATTGCGGACTTGCAAGTTCGAATCCTTTCACTAAATATACGGAGATTATTATAGCAGAACCTGAGTTAACTGTTCCAAGTAATGTTGCTATGCCGTTGGCAGTACCTACTGCTCTAGTGAAGTCAAATATGTACTAATGCCGACCTCCAGTTTTAAACAGAAGCCTATTTAAGACCTTCAGTCCTGCAACATGATGATAATGGGTCTATAATTGCCAGGTTCTTTTGGCTTAGGAAACGGAATTATGTCTGCTTTCTTCTAAGAGGTCAGTAGTTTACCCCAGATGCATCTATAGCGTCCAATATGGCTTATTCTCCAGCGGGAGAACCTTCTTGTTTGGTGAAGGGAGTGCCTCATTCGTTGAATGTAGCTATGTTCTCATGATTGGCTGTCAACCTCTCATGATTTACTTGTTCTGACCGTTGCAGTACGCTGATGTTTAAGCTGCTCTCTCTGGAAATTGGAGAGGCAGTGTCTCAGCCTCTTGTAATGGTTGAATATATGTCTGTGGTCGGAATGGTCACACTGATATGGCTTTAATCTGGCCTCATGTCTCTCCAAGACTATTATGTTCATTTAGAGTTTGACACCACTCAAACTATCTTGGTTCCTTCATCTCTTTAGAAACTCATCTTGCTTCAGATATCACTGCTCTTAGCAGAGTTCTTCCTTCTTTCAGAGGCTTTCTAAAGATGTTGACTCAGCTCTTCCTCTTTAACTTCTTAACTGTAGAACAAATAATTCTTTCGTTTTGTATTATCTGGGATGATGACTGGAATTGCTTTGCTGCAGCTACAATGACTTCCTTGAGTCTCGTGTATGTTCACATCTTCAGGTGGCGAGTGCTGGAACGATATTGTACATTTTTCCTGGAAGCTCTTGCTTGGTTCATCACTGACCTGGAAGCTTTTGCTTGGTTTGACCTCCTGGAAGCTTTTGCTTGGTTTGACCTCCTGGAAGCTCTTGGTTCATCGCTGACCTCCTGTAAGCTCTTACTTGGTTCATCACTGACCTCCTGGAAGCTCTTACTTGGTTCATCACTGACCTCCTGGAAGCTCTTGCTTGGTTCATCACTGACCTCCTGGAAGCTCTTGCTTGGTTCATCGCTGACCTCCTGGAAGCTCTTGCTTGGTTCATCGCTGACCTCCTGGAAGCTCTTGCTTGGTTTTTCACTGACCTCCTGGAAGCTCTGACCTCCTGGAAGCTCTTGCTTGGTTCATCACTGACCTCCTGGAAGCTCTTGCTTGGTTCATCGCTGACCTCCTGGAAGCTCTTACTAGGTTCATCGCTGACCTTCTGGAAGCTCTTCCTTGGTTCATCACTGACCTCCTGGAAGCTCTTACTTGATTTATCACTGACCTCCTGGAAGCTCTTACTTGGTTCATCGATGACCTCCTGGAAGCTCTTGTTTGGTTCATCGCTTACCTCCTGGAAGCTCTTGCTTAGTTCATCGCTTACCTCCTGGAAGCTCTTGCTTGGTTCATCGCTTACCTCCTGGAAGCTCTTGCTTGGTTCATCGCTGACTTCCTGGAAGCTCTTGCTTGGTTCATCGCTGACCTCCTGGAAGCTCTTGCTTGGTTCATCGCTGACCTCCTGGAAGCTCTTGCTTGGTTCATCGCTGACCTCCTGGAAGCTCTTGCTTGGGTCATCACTGACCTCCTGGAAGCTCTTACTTGGTTCATCGCTGACCTCCTGGAAGCTCTTGCTTGGGTCATCACTGACCTCCTGGAAGCTCTTGCTTGGGTCATCACTCACCTCTCGGAAGTTCTTGCTTGGGTCTTTGTTGACCTCCTGGAAGCTCTTGCTTGGGTCTTTGCTGACCTCCCGGAAGCTCTTGCTTGGGTATTTGCTGGCCTCCCGGAAGCTCTTGCTTGGGTCTTTGCTGACCTCCCGGAAGCTCTTGCTTGGGTCTTTGCTGACCTCCTGGAAGCTCTTGCTTGGGTCTTTGCTGACCTCCTGGAAGCTCTTGCTTGGGTCTTTGCTGACCTCCTGGAAGCTCTTGCTTGGGTCTTTGCTGATCTCCTGGAAGCTCTTGCTTGGGTCTTTGCTGACCTCCTGGAAGCTCTTGCATGGGTCTTTGCTGACCTCCTGGAAGCTCTTGCTTGGGTCTTTGCTGACCTCTTGGAAGCTCTTGCTTGGGTCTATGCTGACCTCCTGGAAGCTCTTGCTTGGGTCTTTGCTGACCTCCTGGAAGCTCTTGCTTGGGTCATTACTGACCTCGAGGCCTCGAGTCTTGCCTAATATTCAGTTATCATCGTGTGAAGGACGTACTAATAGTAACATTGATTCGTATTAAAACAACTGGAGACAACGCCAGATATATTATGCAGTTTAATTTTCTAGCAGTTAGTGAAGTTTCTTGACATTATCGTTTGAATTATTATTGGTATTGATGTTCTTGGTAAGTTTTGTAATAAATATAGTTCTTATAGTCTCCGTTATTTGTGATGCCTTTCTGCCATTGTAAAACATGTATTAATTCTTTAACTTGTTTTTCAGTACTCTGGTTTGTTCGTCTTCAGCGACTTGACACTAGAGACGAGACCGTGTGAGGAAGGTAATGTTCACTTCTCTTCATCAACGGCCTCTCTTCCCAATGTCAAAATTATCAATGTTTATTTTATCATTCAGCTGTTTTTCTCAGACTTCTAATTGTAACTGTTACATGATTGTAACTGTCTGTATTGCTACAAATATTTTGCACTGTTATTTGTACAACATATTTACTGCCAAACAAGACAGAAGCACCTTTCTCCTCCTACTTCCATAAAATCACATCATATTCAGCATGTAATAGAATTCGGAAGTAATAAATCACAAATTTGAAATGCACATTAGTTGTCCATTTAGATTTTTCAACTGTTAACATGTAAATTTATATTTTTATATCAGCTCTAAGTAAAAAGCCCGAGATTTATAATACTAGTAATAATAATAATAATATATTAATTAAGTCAAACTCAAAGACAAATTTTAGCTGATCCTCGAGTTCTCACACGCTTGAACAGAATAAACTTAACATAGTTAGAATGCAGAAACATTTCACAGCCTCGATTCGAAACAAGCAATTTTAAACGATTTTTAAGCAATTTTTTCCTCCCAGTCATAGATGTACAAATATCGAACGAATCAAGTATTTGTAGTTTGACACAAACACAATAAATGTGTCATATGTCCATCACGAATTTAAGTGTCTCCAACAATCTCTGTTATAGCGATTGTTTGTTAGATAATATAAGTGATAAAATTACATATTTTAGTTTGCTTCAAGCTCAGTAATGTTAGTCCACATTAACATAAGCAAATGTTTAGCAATTACTCTCTTAATGACCAGAGTGATTGGATATGCTGACTCAGACTGGAGGCTTGGGTCTGTGGTGTAGGTGCACATGATGTTACCCCCGCTAGTGTTGTGCAAACTACCGTGGTGTAGGTGCACATGTTATCCCTGCTAGTGTTGTGCACACTACCGTGGTGTAGGTGCACATGTTATCCCCGCTAGTGTTGTGCACACTACCGTGGTGTAGGTGCACATGTTACCCCTGCTAGTGTTGTGCACACTATGCTGGTGTAGGTGCACATGTTATCCCTGCTAGTGTTGTGTACACTACCGTGGTGTAGGTGCACATGTTATCCCTGCTAGTGTTGTGTACACTACCGTGGTGTAGGTGCACATGTTATCCCTGCTAGTGTTGTGCACACAACCGTGGTGTTGGTGCACATGATGTTACCCCCGCTAGTATTGTGCACACTATCGTGGTGTAGGTGCACATGTTACCCCTGCTAGTGTTGTGCACACTACCGTGGTGTAGGTGCACATGTTACCCCTGCTAGTGTTGTGCACACTACCTTGGTGTAGGTGCACATGTTACCCCTGCTAGTGTCGTGCACACTACCTTGGTGTAGGTGCACATGTTACCCCTGCAAGTGTTGTGCACACTACCGTGGTGTAGGTGCACATGTTACCCCTGCTAGTGTTGTGCACACTACCGTGGTGTAGGTGCACATGTTACCCCTGCTAGTGTTGTGCACACTACCTTGGTGTAGGTGCACATGTTACCCCTGCTAGTGTTGTGCACACTACCTTGGTGTAGGTGCACATGTTACCCCTGCAAGTGTTGTGCACACTACCGTGGTGTAGGTGCACATGTTACCCCTGCTAGTGTTGTGCACACTACCGTGGTGTAGGTGCACATGTTACCCCTGCTAGTGTTGTGCACACTACCGTGGTGTAGGTGCACATGTTACCCCTGCTAGTGTTGTGCACACTACCGTGGTGTAGGTGCACATGTTACCCCTGCTAGTTTTGTGCACACTACCGTGGTGTAGGTGCACATGTTACCCCTGCTAGTGTTGTGCACACTACCTTGGTGTAGGTGCACATGTTACCCCTGCTAGTGTTGTGCACACTACCGTGGTGTAGGTGCACATGTTACCCCTGCTAGTGTTGTGCACACTACCGTGGTGTAGGTGCACATGTTACCCCTGCTAGTGTTGTGCACACTACCGTGGTGTAGGTGCACATGATGTTACCCTTGCTAGTGTTGTGCACACTACCTTGGTGTAGGTGCACATGTTACCCCTGCTAGTGTTGTGCACACTACCGTGGTGTAGGTGCACAACGCTGTACGCATAAGGTAAATGTTAATTAGTGACACCAACATGGATTATCAACAAAAACAGCGCCAGCTGCTGGTCCTTGATGAACGGGGAAGCGAAAACACTTCAATTACGTATTTAGTAAAAATAAACAAAATATTAACGTTGAGCGAAATAATGTTTTGTGTGTTAAAAGAAAAAGTGTGTGTTATCTGCAACTTTTTAACAAATATTTATTAAAATAAAATAACAATATATGAATAAATTATAATGGAGTGTAAGTATGGTTGATATGTGACCGCCTGCCTGAGGAGGGCAGGAAATGTGTGGTGGTGGAGACAGTGTTGCTTGTGAAGTATATGCTAGCTGGGCTGTGCTGGGAGACCCGAGACACGCCGGCTCTCGCCTCAATTATATTAGAGAGGTGGGGGTAATTACTTAACTTGAATCATCTGATGAACATAAAAACTCTTGACTTTACAGAGCGTCGTCACTATTCAGAGGATGTGTACCTAGCGAGTGGTGGACCTGTGGGTGGTTTTATTGGCTTCCTCGCTGGTGATATTGTGCCCGCCGCCGCCCGGCCCCAGTCACCCTCGCCGGCCTTCGCCACAGACAGCGCCAGTAAGGAAGGCAGCGAACAACAGCCAGATGTTCCTAGGACGAATTTTCCGGAGACTTGGCTCTGGGACATCATCGTTGTCCCGTAAGTCTCCAGCTTATAGATTTATGTGTGAAAGTGTTCCGTTTTGTTTGTCTGTGAACACTGATCTTCACAGACTATATTGGGGGCTGTATTTGGTCTTTATTTCCAAAGGTTGCCAGCAATAGTTCAAATCCAAAATGCATTATAATCCTTTTTCATGCAGAACACGACAACTGACATTTCATTCCACTTAAAGAACTTCACACTTATCTTCCTCTAGTGTCACGCATTCATGCACTGTTTATTGGTGGGTGGAGGGGCTGGGTGTCGACGTGTCGGTGGGTGGAGGGGTTGGGTGTCGACGTGTCGGTGGGTGGAGGGGCTGGTTGTCGACGTGTCGGTGGGTGGAGGGGTTGGGTGTCGACGTGTCGGTGGGTGGAGGGGCTGGTTGTCAACATGTCAGTGGGTGGAGGGGATGGCTGTCGACGTGTCGGTTGGTGGAGGAGCTGATTGACTGTGTGGAGTTGCATGTGATGGTCAATTGTTGTACTGTAACTGGAGGGTGATGGGCAATTGGTGCAGCGTAAATTACGGCCTCCTGAGGTGCGTAAGTATGATGAGGATGATGAACACTCCTTCACTAATCATCACTTCTACTGGGAAGTTCTCAGTAATAATTGAAATCAGAATATGTATATAATCAGTGTTGGAAAAATTATGAACTTGGTTACAGTTTTGGCATAAAGGTGTAAATGTAATAATTAGTGTTGCATGTGGTTATTGTCAGGCGTGAGCACCCAGCAGGTGACTGTACCGGACACCATCACACAGTGGGTGGGCAAGGCCGTGTGTGCCCACCCACAGAAGGGCGTAGGACTCTCCCAGAGGAAGTCCATCACCACCTTCACACACACACACACACACACACACACACACACACACACACACACACACACACACACACACACACACACACACACACACACACACACACACACACACACTCGGGTTGAAGTTCAACCCGAGTAAATGCAAAGTAATGAAACTAGGCAGTGGAAACAGGAGGCCAGGCACAGGATACAGAATAGGAGATGAAGTACTTAATGAAACAGACAGAGAGAAAGATCTAGGAGTTGATATCACACCAAACCTGTCTCCTGAAGCCCACAAAAAGAGAATAACGTCTGCGGCATATGCGAGGCTGGCTAACATCAGAACGGCGTTCAGGAACCTGTGTAAGGAATCATTCAGAATCTTGTACACCACATATGTAAGACCAATCCTGGAGTATGCGACCCCAGCATGGAGCCCGTACCTTGTCAAGCACAAGACGAAGCTGGAAAAAGTCCAAAGGTATGCTACTAGACTAGTCCCAAAACTAAGAGGCATGAGTTATGAGGAAAGGCTGCGGGAAATGCACCTTACGACACTGGAAGACAGAAGAGTAAGGGGGGACATGATCACAACCTACAAAATCCTCAGGGGAATCGACCGGGTAAACAAGGATGAACTATTCAACACTGGTGGGACGCGAACAAGGGGACACAGGTGGAAGCTGAGTACCCAAATGAGCCACAGAGACGTTAGAAAGAACTTTTTCAGTGTCAGAGTAGTTAGTAAATGGAATACATTAGGAAGTGATGTGGTGGAGGCTGACTCCATACACAGTTTCAAATGTAGATATGATAGAGCCCAGTAGGCTCAGGAATCTGTACACCAGTTGATTGACGGTTGAGAGGCGGGACCAAAGGACTCGTAATTCTGTGGCGTGGGTTCGATTCCTGCACGAGGCAGAAACAAATGGGCTAAGTTTCTTTCACCCTGAATGCCCCTATTACCTAGCAGTAAATAAGTACCTGGGAGTTAGTTAGCTGTTACGGGCTGCTTCCTTAGGTGTGTGTGTGTGTGTGTGTGGTGTGGAAAAAAAGTAGTTAGTTAACAGTTGATTGACAATTGAGAGGCGGGCCGAAAGAGCAAAGCTTAACCCCCGCAAAACACAACTAGGTGAACACACACACACACACGCAAACACACACACACGCAAACATACACACACACACACACACACACACACACACACACACACACACACACACACACACACACACACACACACCCACACACACACACACACACCTGTTGATTGACAGTTGAGAGGCGGGACCAAAGAACCAGAGCTCAACCCCCGCAAGCACAACTAGGTGAGTACACACACACACACACACACACACACACACACACACCCACACACACACACACACACACACACACCACACACACACACATACATACACACACGCACGCACACACACACACACACACACACACACACACACACACACACACACACACACACACACACACACACACACACACACACACACACACACACACACACACACACACACACACACACACACATCGAGGGTCGAGGCAGACCCTCGGAGACACACGTCTCCGAGGCCGAGTGTCGAGGCAGGTGGTCACGTTACGCTGCGCTCGTCAATAAGTCTTCATATTTCGGGACATCAGAGGGATGCACGGGAAATTCGGTGTTCAGTGATAATACAAAGTGCAACACACTAATTAGAAACTAGCAAATTTATGGATTGTGTCCGATAGGGAATATTAGACAAGATCAGGGGTACGACAACAGTGCCAGGACAAGCACGTGGGCCACTGCATGGTCAGGGTGTACACAACTAGATGCGATAGTGAAGATCATAACAA